GAACAATTGAAAATCATAACTTTCTAACATCGAATTAATAAAAAAATCATTCCTACCAAAATAGAATTTCATGTGATTGTACTTAGGTATATAGTGACCCTGTAGTGTCGTACTTAGTGTTCATATTGTAATTATATCACGTTCCTGGTTTTAGCGCGACACTGTTGCATCGCGCAGTTACTCTAATTGTATAAATGCAAAGGTTAAAAATTTTAATCAAACAAAATAAATATAAAAAAAATATAACTTGTATATCTATACTATATTTTTTTATTGAAATAAAACTCAATTTTTTACTCAATTTCCAACTGGCCTATGAACAAATGCCTATTCTAAGTGTATATTATTTAATAAACCAAAAAAATGACAAAATTGGTGAGAGAAAAATAATAATTTATAAAAATGTTAAGCTTAGTAAAATTTATATATTTAAATTATTTAGTTGACATTTTATTGTAAGTTTATTTTATTGTTTTATCGCTCTATTAATAATTTATATTAAATAGTTATAAACATATATTTGGATTTTTAAGCTAATTAATTAATTATTTATAAATTAATAAAAATAAAAGATTTTATATATAGCAAAAAATATTTTATTATTTATTTATAAATCTAGATTTTTTATTTTCTATTACTGAATATTAATAATATTTATTTTATTAAAAAATTTTAGGATTTTTGTTTAATAAACTTTAATATAAGATTTAGATTTTTTTATATAGTAAACATTTATCTATACATATAAATTTTATATATTTTTGATTGTTTTTTTTTTTTATAAAAATTTGAAACACAAAAAAAACCAATTTAAATTATACAAATATTATAATAAATGACTTTATTTATTATATAAATTTATATACGTATAGCAAAATTGGTTTATAGATTATAACAGATTAGTATAGTACATGCCAAATTTTAAAAAACTATATCAAACAATATAATATAATTTCTAACCCAAATAAAAGCTTGCCGGTTAAATCGGTGTTATGGTTAAGGTTACTTTTTTGATACAAATAAGTAGGTTTATATATATAAATATCAAGAAAACAATTTATGCTGTATGTAGATCATATACCAACCACCTCGAAGGTACGTAGAATTAATTATATATGAGTGAATGATGTAAATTGCATGATCTGAGAATTTTTTCGGTTCCTATACCTACTGAACTGCGTAATATGATACCCATAGAAATAGAAAAGGAAAAGGTTCGGATTATTTCACTTCCGAGAGTGGAGTGCAAAATTATTATTTTTAGAAAGTCATACCCCCTCAATTCTACAGCAAAATCATAAGATTTATGTCCCCTTAAAATTACATAATAAACGGCACACCCCTTAAACTCTATTTCCGGCATTTCTTTCACTTCCGGAAAACTTTGTCCTGACGCATATAAACTTGCTTTGACATGCTAAATTAGTTTGTTTAATTAGATATGTATGTATATGCATATTAATGCGAAAAGTAACATCACATTATTCAGCCTAGTTAATTGTATAAGCGCTATTTTTAGATTTTGTTTCAAATGTTTTATAAACTCCAACAATCATTATTGGCCAAATTTAAAAGGCGTAAATCTTGCATCCTTTAATTTACTTATGATATAATAAGATACTATACTATTCTTATAATTATGTAAGTATACGTACGTACGTACGTACGTTCTTTTTTTTTTTTTTGCATATGTTAGAGTTGCATGCGTTCCTGAATTCATTGTGGACGCTCAAACTTAATTTCTAAAATTTTATTGCTTAACAATGTATAATCTAAATGATTTTGCTTTCCTTAAGCGTAGTTAATTTTTTATAACGATATTAAAAATCCAGTAAATATGTAAAGTTCTTAAATACCAAATAAAATTTATGGTATGCCACCACATTTGTACATAATCAAATTAGATAACGATAAAACGCATCACAATTGATATATTTTTTTAAGCATAACACGAAACGGTTTAATTTTGAATAAGCTTCCTGTAGTAGCTAAACTTACTAAGCACAACTGCTGCTAAATATATTTATTCTAAATTAGGATCTATTCACAACAAACATTGTGTACATTCGGATGTAAATGATGGTTAATTATTAATTGACGAAAATTACCGTTATCGAATAAAATTAATACCATATACTGTACTGTATATAATTTATATTTATAAATAAATACAAAAAAAAAATTTATGAATTGTATCGTTATGTAATCTTCCAATTAAGTTTGCTTTTCTTTCTTCGAAACCATGATTATTATAAAGTTCTAAAACTTTTAAAGAATTGTTTCCGTAAATGGGTCAACTAATGGCGCTCCTCTTTAACACTGGTTCTTCTAGTAACATAAAATAATTTTAAATTTTCATTCGATGAGCTTAATCGTAAGCATTGTCTGAATAATTCTTTTGGTGACAACCACTTCCGGTATATTTTGGATTGTAGGTTTTTATGAAACCCATTATTCTAAAATCAATGTTTTTGAACCTTCGGAATTTGAAGCAGATGCAAATTTTAAATCCTTTATTCCTGCCGGAATAAATATTTCAATTTCGTTTTCACAGCTTTTGACAGTCAATACTGTTAGAAATGAATAGTTTTTTATGCTTTCTTTGTACTGTTTACACAGTACTTCAATTCGTTGTTTCTAAAAAAAATATAAATAATAAAATGAATACATAACGTCACTTAATCATCAGCATAACTTAAAGCATTATTTTTTCAATTAAAAAATAATGACATAAGTTAATTAATCATTAATAATTGACAAAATATAAAAAATGACGTACATCGCTATGTAATTAAAATTTAATTTTAATAAAACATAAAATGCATGCGATTATATACGATGTTGTTAGATTGAATAATTGACAACTTTTGGATTATATTTTCATATTCAACGAAATTATATGATTATGATCAAAAGTGGGAGGATAAATCGAATGACGTTGAAGTCGTTTTTCTATTTTCTTTCTCAGAAACATCAAAATTCAGACAAATAAGCAAGCGTGATGAATGTATTTAGAATTCTAACCAACTTTAATAATAGCTTGAATTTTAAGTAAAGATATATAAAAAAAATATGATCTCAAGTAACCCGTGTTTAATTAGTCTGACGTATTATTTTTACTATTTCAATAATGATAATAAATTAACGTTAATAAATTAATTAATTAATTCGATAATAAATTAACGTTAATAAATTAATTAATTCAATAATTAATTCAGTAATTAATTGATCTTACCTCATTATTCAAGCTGAACGTAATTCGATCGTCACCTCATAATTACTCCACATTTACATCCCTATTTGTACGTAATAGCCAAGAACATTCAATTAATGTCTTTACCTTCAATACGTTATCATTACATAAATTTTTTTCGATTTTAATTTTTTTTTCGTCTTATATATAAACAGTTTGCTCTTGAAGTTGAATCGATACATAGTAAAACTTAACTCTTCTATCAATAGAAAAAATTTCATAACATTTCAATAATATATATTCACGTCAATGCATCTGAAAAAATTTTCTCTTTTAATTACTTTAACCATTTTTATGGTTTCTTTCTTTGAGGTTGCTTCTGACCCTAATCATTCCGGAAATGACAATGAATCAAAAACGTGTCCACGGGCTATGCTTTCGGCTACTTCTGAATGTGATATAAAAGGTCAGATGACTTTTTATCAAGATGTAAAGGGAAATACTTGGCTTACTGGTACTTATCAGTACGGATTTCAAGATCCAACCATTTGGAATTACGATTGGACTATTCAAAATGGTTGTGGAGAAATTCTTTTTAATCTCACCTCTTGTCTCGATATGGAGTTCATTAAGGATAGTGGATGTAATGGTTATTCTTCTGATGATTCGAATAAAAAAGATTCAAAAAAAGATTCCAAAAAGAGAGGTGGTTATCTTAATAAGAGGCATAAATTTGGTACCTTTGATGAAAAATGTGATATTGGACCTTGGGGAACCAAACCGTGGGTTATTAAAGTTGATGATTTAACTTGGGATTGTGAAAAAGATGGTATTAAGTATCATACATGCAATGATAAAGATATCTACAATGACAAAGTCGCGGATCATGATGATGAACTTCCAAGTCGACTTGATGATCAAGGTCCAAAAACTGGCTTGTATCTCGTAATAAATGGTGAAAGTAAATCAGGAAAGCGTGATAACAGTCAATCTGTTGCTGAAATTAACATTAATGATTGCGGCGAACCTGCTTCATCACTACCTACATCTCCACCTCCATCACCACCTCCACCACATACTCCTACTCCACCACCAACTCATCCACCTCCATCACCACCTCCACCATATACTTCTTCACCATTTGAAACTACAAGAGTGACTGTAACAGTTACAATGACTGAAAGACATCCGAGAACAACATAGAGTGAAATAGTCTTCTTTCCTCTGTTCATTTTTATACGCATGTGATGTGAGCCAAGAATAACATTATAGCTATTAATATGTTCATAGTAAGCTTGATATAAAGAAATTTTTTTTGTAAAAAAGATAGTTCTTATGCGAATGCTAAAATCAGTTTTCTAAAATTACTTGAAATATTCACATTGCGCCAAGAATATTGTATTGCTATATTATACAATTAAAAAATATTCTACAAAAAAAGTTTCATGTGAATGTATTTTACTTGTCGGATTTATATACATTTGTAAATAATTAAATAAATCAGATAAATTTTTTTTTTCGATTTGATTGTCAATAATTTCACAAATCAAGTGATTAATGATCGAGACCAGGTGTATCACAAAGAAAACAATTCATAATTCAACTAAACTAAAAGTTTTCTTGCGATTTTTTAAAACAGTGAAGCTCTTTAACAGCATATTCGCATATTTAATTTGATCTTACAGTTTGATAATTCGATTTGCTTTTTAGTTTTCACATTTTCTTCATAATTATATGATTTTTTGCACAATATTCACGCTATTGTTTAATTGTTTCAATATGCGGAAAAAGCTTGATAATTTTTGAAAAAAAAAGATGTATGACATGTATAAAATCCACAGATTCCAAGAAAATTTTGCACACCGCAGATTTCGTATATGGATTTTAGATATGTAATATTAATGATTATATACAATTATAACATGTTTATTTTGATTTATATAACCGATCGAATTTCCATCCTATCTTGACGTCGATTTTCTCATAGTTACGAAACAGTAATTTACGTTTGAAATTCGAATTCGAAAATTTAGATTATTAAAAAATTACAGCTATTTCAAAAAGATGCGGAAATCAGTTTCCACATACAGTTGAGATATGCTGGTCACAATATTCCATCTCCCTTATATTACCCTGACTATGGTTTTATTTATTAGATCGCTATACACCC